TATGGGGGGAGTGGGGGAAAGAGAGAGCGGAGGGGGCTCGGGCGGGGTGAAGCCGGGACCGAGCCCGGTGCCGGTGAAGTTACGGCCGGTTTGGGGTAGGGGTAAACCCCGGCTCGCAGCGGGTTTGGACACAGCTGGGTACCCTCCCCTGCCGTTTTAGGCTGGTAAAGGTGCTTTTTTTTAACCAAAAAAAAAAAATTAAAAAAAATTTAAAAAGGGCTTGTCCGGTGTGACGGCACAGCGCCGGCCGGTTCCTCCAACGCCCCAAAACAAGGAGACGCTCGGTACCGGCTCCCGGCACCCAACCCCGCCGTGCCCCGGGCTCAGCCCTTTCCGTCTTTTTTTTTTTTTTTCCTTCTTTTTTCTTTAATTCCACACCCTCCACCCCTTTATTTTCTCCTTCCTCCTTCCCCTCGCCTTTCCGCCGGGTGAGCCCCGCTCCCGGCCACCCCGGGCCGGGGGGAGCCGCTCGGTTTGGCGGCGGGGACGGCGCCGGTAAAACGGCCTGCGCACCGGCGGAGCGTCCTCCGCGGCTGCTTCCCCGGGGGGAGACGCGGCCAAACGGGCTCGGGAACCGTCTTCCCAGCCCGAGGAGGAGTCCCGGACCCACTCCCCAGTTGAGGAAGGCACCAGATTTCCCCCCCCTTCCAGCCCCAGCGAGCCAGACAGGAGAGAGAAGGAAAAATGTCACTTTTTTTCTTCTTTTTTTGACAGGAGAGAGAAGGAAAAATGTCAAAATGTCACTTTTTTTCTTCCTTTTTTTTTTTTATTTTCCTTTCTTTCTTTTTTTTTTTTTTTTTTTCTTTTTTCTTTCCTTTCCCCGCGGGTTCTGCTAAGTCTATAAAACCAGTTGTGTGGCCCTAACCTCCTTGGCCTTATATCTCCCATGCTGCCGGGCCAGCTCCGGGCAGTCTATCTTTGCACAATATACAGTAGACTTCACAAAACAGCACAATGGGGGAGGCAGGGAGGTGAGCATGTTAGAGGCGTGCATATTAAACAGACGGAGGCAAAGGCAGCCAGGGCTGGGCCGGG